TAAGAAGTTTTAGATTATAAACTTATTTATTATAGATATATTTACTAAAGCAAAGAAAATTTTTTTTTCAGTGTAAAGAAAAGTATCATAATAAAGGTATAAAGTACTTAGGCCAAAGGGTAATATCATCAATCAAATCGTTACCTTATCTATCCCATAGGTATCTCATTCTAATATCGAGAAAAATACTTCTTCTTGGAAAAAATATTTTCTATTAATGTATATATATAACTTGAAATGTCATTTGAATATTAGTACCTAGAATTTAAAAGCACTGTACAATATATATATGCTTAAGAGTGTAGGATCATTTAGTAGGAATTCGAGATAATAAGCATTATCAGTTCATGGAAAATCTGTTTATAAATTACAACAACCAACTATAAATATCTAAACATACCTATATAATACAATCTTCTTTTTATTTTTTATTCATAACGGATTATGAAAAATATTAGTTTTAGTCACTCGAAGAGTTAAATCAACTATTCTAAAATTTTGAAGGAAAAAATACATAGGTTTACAGACATTTTCATTTTTGAAGAAAGATTTGAAGGGATCCCGAGCCATTATCCATAACAACCCATTGCCTGAACGATGATCGATGGAAGACAGACACAATGCAATGTAACGCGGGATCTACTTTGACCTTTCGCAGCGTGAAGGAAACGCGAGAGATATGATGGGATGTAGCAAGAGCGACCTAATGTTTGAAGTTTGAAGAAGAATACGCATAGATCATCAATCATATACGTATGAAAACCTCGTGAACACGTTTATGGTTGTATGCACTAACGAAAGTTCACTTCATATTAGTAAAGCAATTACAATAATTTGTCGACAGTAATTAATGTTATGTGTTAATTGCACTTGAAAAACTCACTTGCGTCTTCTGTATACTTCAGTAAACAAGGAGAGACGTAAAGCTCTGATGAACTCAATATATCACTGCTTGTTAGTAAATTCTCTAATGATGTTTGTTATTATTATAATTTGCCAAAGTTTAATATTATTAATTTTTAATATATGAAAGAATGTATAAAGATTTACTACATAAAAGGATATTATTTTAAAACATGATAACAAAAGAATAAAAAAAGATCTTAGAAATAGTTCAATGATAGGGGAACATGGTGTTCCTTTGTACCTTTAACCATTTGATCCTATAAAAGTCTATTGAATATTTGTGAAAATAAAAATATATAGTTTGTAATATGAGCAGATGTGATTTATAACTTACAATTATAATAATGAAGAGAATTATATTCCTATAAAAAGTCATTTATCGTTTTCGAACGTTCAAACGAAATAATTTCAAGACGCTTTTTAATCTCATAAAAAATATTGTATATGTACTTGTATTCGGTCTTGTTATAATTAACCTAAAATGTAAAATACATTTTCAGAAAGTTATTTAAAACTCAATACTATCAATCAATCTATAATTTATAAAATTATATCCCAACCTATAATTTATAAAATTAATTAATAAATAGAAAGTGAACAAACGTTGTACCTTTAATCAGTAATTGATAATGTAGTTTTGACCACTCAATACGATATCGAATAATCATTTAGCTGTCTCTAATGTTAATAAAATTATGCTTATTAGCGATAATAGACGCGATTTTGAATGAAATGAACGAATTTGCCAGAAATACAAAATTGTCTCTAATTTCCTCATATCATGTTTTTGTATAATCAAGTTTATTTTTATATTACATATTTTATATATAAAGTTTTATATAATGTAAAGAGATATCACAAATACATTTGTTGAATATCTTATCTTTATACACCTTTTATGATGTTGTACCTTTGACCAAATTTAATTTTTTTCTACAATATTAAAAAAATATACAAGATATAAAAATGTAAATCTACAAAAAATATATGTTAGTGTCAACACTTCAAAGAATATTTTAGAATTTTTTGAATTTTTAAACATCAAAATAAAACTTGCACAAGAAAAAATATCAAAATTGTTTAAAGGTACACCACCCTACATATTTATCCCCCCACATATTTATTCTACATTTTTCTCTTTTCTCGTGAAATTCTTATACAGTTTTATGTTAAATTTCACGGTAAACAGTTTTTTTTCGTATCGAGAAAATTTCGTCTGTCCAAATAGAACATTCCACAAAGACGACTTTGTGTTTTGTTGCACGGCTACAAATAGATTACCGTGGTGTACATTAGTTTCGAGGACTCTTGCATCCCATACAACAGGAAATCGTGCCTTCGTCGGCGGATTGCGACGCCTAGACAAGTCCGATCGTTTACAAAGATTGACTACTGGTGCAACATAGGGTGAAATAACATTGGGCGATAACAAAAACGGACAGTGATAGATGACGCAAATGCCCGATGACGCTGTACAGTTTATCCAGTGTATTTTTTCCCGTCAACGAAATGCAAATGACATCGATAATTAACGTGTTCATTATGCAAATTGATATTTTCAAAAAAACAACCAAACCAAACTCGTGACAACGATCGCGACCAATTAGATTCCGCTTACGTTCGATTTTACCTGAAAAGCATATATGTGTAAAGTCTTTTTTTCACGTGGTTCTGTTTTAAATGCATCCCTATAGGCATATGCGGATTGCAATGACGTGGAAATGTTGCGCTAATGATCAGCGGACGTGATTGCACGAGTCTGTCTCATCTCTTTCCATCTAGAGATTATCCAAGATTTGTCAAGGGAACGCGTCGATCCGTTCAGATCCACCTAATTTCCTTAGAGCTTAAATCTTCATAGAACGGAAATAGTTTATCGCTTGGAGCGTCCCGTCCGACGCGTCTCTGCTTTCTAATTTACACGGAGACCTGTCCGATCGTTCGCGGAGATTGACTACTGGTGAAATTAGAAATCGCGTCTCGTATCGCTGAACAAAAAAACTTTCCATAAAATGCCTTCCGAACGACAATACGAAAAGGTCATAGTGTTACGTAATAACTGCGCTGTCAGTTTAAAATATCATATATATATCTTTTAATTAAAATGGAATGAGAAAATGATTCAAGCGTCTGCTCACACATTAATTCAAGTTAATCGAGCGCGCTCAGTATTAAACGGTTAGTGTATCGATTCTAGCAGTCTTCGCTAATTTCCTTGGTGCTCTTACAGGGACACAGCGGAAGGGGAAGAATTTGTCGGTCGGAGCGCTTACGTAAATTACCAGGGAGTACTCGCGGGAGAATATTCTCCGTGTCAAGGCGCTTTAGCCCACCATTAGGCTGTTAATGTCCGTGACACGCGCAGAATTAGCACCCCAATGGCGAATTATGCAGGATTTATAACGGAAGCGGTATAATGGATGGTCAGGCCAAACTGTTTGCTATTACAAAGTAACGTTTCCATGAAAAATGTGACGTTATTAAGATTAGAATAAAATAATTCTGATGTTTTTACAAAATACTTAGGGGAAGGGAGGGCAAAGCGAAAAATATCATGCACCTATCAAATATCCGAGGGACTTTATAAATTACTATATTACGAAATAAGATAGCGACCCGTACGCATACTTAAGTCCCAACCGTGGCGCGTTCGGATATAGGAATAGGTATTTAAAAAGTATTTACTGCCATATATTTTCCGCTTTGCCCTCCCTTCCCCTACATACACACACAGCTGTGAAATATAATAATACTTAAAATTTCTACTAATTATACGTTTAACCCTTCTATCAACGCACAATTTTTCATCTTTCCACTACTGTTTTCATAAGGACTAAAACAAAAGCAAAAACAAGGTAAAACTGTTTTTTGTTGTTTAAAGAATGGAGTTTCGAAGCATCATAACAAAATTTGCACAAAAATATAAAAATTTTTACTGTCTAAAATATAGGTGTATCCACTTGCAGAAGAGTTTGTAGAGAAATTGCTGTAAAACTTGATTTCCATCATTCAGCACAAATATTCGAGAAATCGACGAATGACCTATCTAGTCCGATATTGAAGCAATTGGAGGCGCAGATCGATACGATCGATGAAAACACGATTTTACAAGATTACAGGAGAAGGAGAGGTCGAATTCATTCGCGGTTTCCTCAATCTTTCCCTACCTCGATGTGTTTTCCTTTCAATTATAAAATGTTTCGAACGCTTAGCATAATTATTTAAAATAGAATTTCAGAAAACAGATAGAGAAGAGATAGTGAACATTGAAAGCATGCAACACGTGTAAAAAAAATGATAATAAATGATTTGAATTGGCGAGGACACACGATCGCAGTAAATAAACCGAGCAATTTCCGGAAAATCCCCTTGTCGAGTGAGAGTCCTCACATGCGCACCTGCGACCAACTTTTGCCTGCCTTTTACGCGTGTCAGTCACTCCGCAGGTTATAACTATTTAGCCGAAAAATTAATTATAACCCTAATCTCACTTCGTAAATACTTTCGCACGTGTATGATTGCTTCCAGCGACAAGTCGTAATTATTATATAATATAACACAAAGTCGTGTCAGTAAATCAAAACATGCCAGATTGGCGTTTCTCTAAAGAAGAGAAAGATGTTTCTATAATTACATTATATACTTTATACGATTAAAACAGATTAATGAATTTTTTTTACTAAAAGCTACCATTGCACAAAATCTGACAGACTTTGTTTTTTTTATGCCCTATCATTTAGAGATTTTTTCATATAGAATTAAGCTTTCATATTCTAAAAGCAACTTTTAAATAATAAAAATGAATATATATTCACGATTTTATATTCAAACGTAATTTATGCCTTTTTGAAAGAATTTATTACATAAAACTCTACGTTAGAATAATAATTTTAATCAAGTATGTTTACTGTGTGCAAATTATTCATAATTACCAAAGTAGATATGATACGAGTAAATCACGATGAAATAATTTTTCAGCGATTTTTTTTCAAGTTTAAAAATATTTTTATCAACTTTTTACTGGGTTATACGAAGTAGAAGTAAATTTGTGGTTCTGACGACAATCTTATATTTTCCATTAATATTTGTTTCAGATGGAGGTGTGGTGGGTGGTTCGAGAGCAGGACCAGTGGTGACTCCACATACGCTGGAACTGACACTACGTGGTAGGGTTTTGCTGCAGCTCGCACCGCCGGAAACTGCTCGGGCATACCTGCCACCAGAGTATCGACCCGGCCGCGTATATTCGGACACGGATTCGGAAAAAGTACGTCATATTCAGCACAGTACTTAATGACGTGCCATTAATCCAATAACGAATTACCCTCTGACCGACGTCCGTCACTCGAAAGACTTTAGAATACGTATTCCCATTTGTTGGTATTATATATACACACACACACATCTGTTCCTCTATTACGTAATTGCAACTTACAATATGCTAACATTTTTAACGGCGTTATCTCAAGATTAATTTTCTTTGCATCTCCTACAAATTCTTTCTTTTTTTAATCGATTCTATTTACGAAGCTTAGTTGTCCAAATTTATGAAACGTTTGAATAAGCTTTCGAATGTTCAATCACATAATGCGATATTATACTGATAAAAGTAAACATTCGAAACAGAGTCGAATAATTGAACGTCGTGAAACAGATGAAAGGAAACACGTTCATTAGGAACATTTTCATTTCTCCAATCATTCAATTATATACACACGTATATAAATTATAGTAGTATTTACGAAAGGGCGAGGCCGATGGTATAATTAAAAGAGTATCGTGCATGGAGAATTATTAACGCGTCCTATTAAAATCCTTTCAGCGTGAAGAGGATTAAGCCGCCGTAGCCGTCCTTTGACGGCTCGACGACTTTTTATTTGCTCGACTTCCGCGTTTCAGTGCAGGGTGAATTTTTAACGAATCCGCTGTTGCCTCGCGCCAACTGTTCAGAGAACTCGAAGAACGAAGAGAGATGCAACAGAGGGTGAAGCGGGTTTTTGTGTACCTTTAGCAAAATCCTAGCGCCCTTTCTATGGTCCCTCTTGCATTTTTTTTCCGGCACGTTCGTCGGATTTTTTCGCTCTCTTTTCCATCCTCCACCCCCAACGGCGATCTCTTTCGCTCCTCTTTAGCGCCATCCTTTCTTCTCGTTGACAGCCGGACGGAGTCCCGTTGTATCATTGCACAGACCGGTATTTATCTCCTGCAGATTAAAGGAAAAACAAACGACACGTACGATAAATAAACTTTGACGTATCGTTCTTTTATATCATCAATTCCGAATCCTCTATCTCACTTTCACTCCTAACGAAGAGATAAGACCTCGCTGAAAACACGTAATCTTGATTACCCTACTGCATTCGCGTATCGCTCGTTAAACACACAAAGAGACGCGTTTATACGTTATTTACGCGAAGAACGTAACTATTGAAATAGAAATAAAACTCATGATGTTTATGATGGTGAATATAATGTTTATACAAGATTATATGACGAAAGTGAATAAAGCCAGTGAGGAAAGAACAAAAGATAGGAAATATGCTTTTACGATTCAATATTCTAATACATATTGAAAAATACCCGTCGTGAAAAATCGTGAAAAACTTAGATAGCTTCCATTTTATAAACAGTGTATACATTTATCGATGTCCAAATAGAAATAATATGATAGTTTACTGACGCAAGTTATAATGTGAACAAAACCAAAACCGTATATAGAAGCAATTCAACATAGTAAAAGTTAACAACATTGTTAACTTTCGCATTTTATATGTTTTATTACTCTAAAATTAAGATTCGGTAATAGAAGCAAGAAAATATTCTAGAAGTTTGAACAATGAATATTTCTCTTTCCATACGAAATTACGATACGGACTAATATTAATTATTTCGAAAGCGCGGTATCGATTAAATGCAAAATACAAAGTTCTTTCAATAAAACTCGTTAGAATATAATATTTCAATCTGTTTTCTCTCTGTCACGTAAACCAGCATCAAGATGCAATATTCAGTTTCAATCAAATAAAGTACTGATGCATTTCCATCAACGATACTTTAAAACGTATCAAAAAATGAATTTCGATTTGTAGCAACACGATTTTAACGAAGGAAGGGCATTGAGAAACTTCACTGCATACAGCGAAAAGTATGATAACCGTACTTCTACATTAGAAATAATTACTACTTTGTCAGCAGTATTTAGTAGAAACGATAATGAGAAACTATAATAAGAAAGTACGTAAGATTCTTTTTTTTACAATTTATGTTTTTAATATAATAAATGAAAAAAACTAACAGTGATTCATTAACTTTCCTGTAATCTGTTTCTATTCTACGATTTTAAATCATGTATTTGGAGTCATGAACTTGAAAGAGATGAATATTTTAGTTCACACTGCTCACACATTGCAATACAAAATAATAAAAAAACTTAGAATCATAATTAATTAATAAGATAATGATATTATACTAATTAATTAATCGGAATTAAACATATAAACATATATATTCTAACGTTTACTGTAATTTTTTATCTTTTACAAAGCACTACATGCATGAGATGCCAAAAAAATATTTCAATCAAAATTTGTCGAAGAATTAATCAAACAATATTTTTCGCTTGAGTTATACTTTTGATCTGAAATGTTTTAAATCCATCATTGATAACAGAGTTTTATGCGTCTTGACATTCACGTCACGATTCTACTTTCCTGGAAAGCATGAAACTCCCACCGGTGGTGGCTGCAGTATCATAGTACACAACGACGATTACCTGGGCGACATAAAGCCAGCACGAAAAAGCACTCGACTTTCCGGCGATTGTCGCTCTTACATTTTTCACTGCGTGACACAATGCACAGGCGAGCTGTTAGAATGATCTCTGTGACACGGTGAGAGTAGCGCACAGGTGCTATAACTATGTGCAACATCGTTGCTTCCCTTTCGTGTAAATAAATGAGAAAGCCACCAAGTCAATATAAAAATTCATAATAGAGTTCATAAAGATCTCGCTATTCTGACGTTTAATTATAAATGCTGACAAATAACGTTGCGCTGCTAAATGAAATAAAATACACCGGCAAAAAGTAATTAAAACTGACAAAAAAATGTCACGTGATAAGGAGTTATTCATATCGACGCTATACTGTTTATTATTCTTTTCAAGCATCCGATGGAAGGTATCAAATAATATCGATGCTTATTTTTCAAGCATCGAAGATATGAAGTCTGCACAGTCGATATTTTTTAGTATTATCGATGAAAGTATCGGACAACATTGTTTTTTCAAAAAACAAATAAAAATATTGATAACTAAATACTTTCTTAAATCTACAAAATCCTCCTAGATGTTTTTAGATGCGTATGTATTATATATACGTGTTCTGTTGCGGAAATAAGAAAAATTCGATTATTGCATCCGCTTTAGATAGAAACAGACTCTGCTTTCGAGATTGATATACACATGCACAGTTTACCTGATACAAAAGTTGTTCCTGAGAGTGCTCTTCTTCAGATAATATCACTTTTTTATTTATGAGTCTAATGCTAAACATCATTCAGAATAAGAAACATTTCAAAATTTATCGTGAGCTTAACAGAAATAATATTTCTCTTTATATACGTCTAGCTAGTCATTTCTTTTAATCATTATTATAAATTAAATGGTATAATTTTTTGTACGCGCATAATAATAAAGTGCATTTTAAAATTTATCGCAAGTTTAAAATTTAGTATATATTTAAATTAATATATATTTAACATTGCTAAATATATTATACGAGATATCCCATTTACCGTAATATCAGTTAATAGTAAATTCCTGAGAGCATTTTGAAACGAAAATCCTAAAACTAAAATGTCGAGGCTACAATAGTTTTTAAATGAGAAAAGTTTAACTAATTAAACTGTCCAGAATTTGCATGTTCAGGTATGGCACATCGAATAATAGTGAAAAGTATACAAAATCATATTATCATAAAAAAAAAATAAGACTTTTATTTAAAAACTTCACTGTTGTGCTATACTTGAGCGCGCGAATTCAGAATAATTTGATCAATCAAGTTATTTTCATTTAAAAACTGTTACAGAGCTACATTTTAGCATTATTCTTCTCGAAATGATATCAGAAATCTACCATTAACGGATGCCATGGTAAATCTGGAACAAACAAGAATCGATAAATAGCTTATAACGTGACAGAAATCCTGAATACAGTTGCACTGATATTATTTAATGCTATTATTGCATTTTTAAATAAACGTTAAACGTATATTTGCAATTAATCACATTTAATGTTTAATGTGCTAAATAAAGATTAATCTCATTTTGATTTCAGATGTGGATGTATTCTTTAGGCAGGGCATTATTGGACACGACTCCCAGAGCAACGGCGTTGACGGGGACCGTTTCTGTTTCACCCTCTTCCGCTTTACAATCAGTGTTGGCTGCCATGACGGAGCCTGATCCTCGCAGACGTGCCTCCTTGATGAATTTACTCGACGTAAGTTCTTAAGTTTTAATGAAATTCTTCCAGAATTACCTCCATCCTAAAAGTTTCTTTTTCTCGTTGCATTTCCATCAACTTCCGTCAATCTTTTCAAGATTTATCATTATAATATATATATATATATATATATATTTAATGCGTGTTTTCCTCATACTTTCCAAAAGACTGCCGCACGTTCATTCATCGTCAGGACAAACACTCGTGCGCACACATGTAAACTTACATAACTGGCGAACATTGTGCGAAGCGTACAATCTGCTAATAAAAGGCTGAGACTTTTTTGCCGATTTTGCCGCGAGGTGCGGGTAGATAGTTTCAAATTCCAAAGTTCATTGTGTGCGCACTATCGACGGTACGAAATAAATCAGCCAGTATCGTTTAAAGTGACTCTTCAGCGTTCGATATTTCACTCTGCCCTCTGTAACAACGCATCATTTTCCATACGTATCTATCGCAAAACAGTTTTCAATTCTCGAGTTTCATCATTCAGTTGGTAGTTGTCCGATATGTCTGCAGACAGATAAACGTATATTTATCGTTGATGCAGACTGTATCCGATAATATATATTTTAATCTTCCTTGTTTACATTATATTTATGATTTATTTGATATATTCTGTTATTTTTAAGGTATATTTTATTTCACGATAAATTCAGGTATTATAATCGCAATACCTTAATCGCGAAAAATAATAACACAATTTAAATAAACAGCATGATTCTATATTTCTGTAATATTTAAATTAAATATTTTGAGTTTTAAATACCTCTTTTTAATATAGCAATTTTTTTTCAATGCTTTTCCGATACTTTTTCTATTGCTTATAACTGTTTTTTAATGAGTATACACCAAAGAAGTTGTCAAAAAACTATGATCACGGATCACAAGTATATTCAACGTGTTTCACTACAACTTGAATTTTGACAACCCGCGAATTAATAATACTTAATTCCAAGTACTGCAAGTACATAACAAAATCAATTTCCACATCACAAATACGAATGGTGAGTAATACGTCGCGAATTCGTATGAGGACTGGAATTAGGCACTAACATATGAGGAATGCATAACGCGTATCAAGAAAGGGTAGGTCGTCTCTATGATGAGAATAATAAAGCAATTTGTCGCCAATAACACGCGACATTACGTGACGATGAAATTTTGAGACCCAGCGTGTCAGAGACACTCGAGTTTGTAACTGCGACTATATATTATATCAAATCTGTATACGTCTAATCTTTATGCGTAGAGAGTCCATGTATCTGCATAGACATGCATCTATTATATAAATCATAATTGCAAGAGTCAGGTATTTTATGTAGAATATGCTTCTGCATTTGCATGAAAGTTATTTTTCTCATAATTTCCGTTTTATACTATACCGTTTTGATTATTTAAATTACGATTCACAGAAAACAGAACATACTGTATAACAACAAGTATTGTAATATCGTTGTTAAGAATATCAAAATTCAGCACTACACATATTTTTCATTTAAACAGTAAAAAATATCGCGCGAATGTGATTTTCTTTACATCTAATGAATTAATAGAAATTCAATTGATCAATTAGAGAATCGAATTGAATAATCAATTTCATCACGGATTCTCTTTTCCGTAATAAATTCATGTAAAAGAAAATTTTAGTTATACTTAGCTTATGTGTCCAACTTTGGTAATGTTCATACGGAATTAATCGATAGACCACATAGACTTAATCATAGCCACACGACACCATGCGGCCCTTGGGTATCCGCCGTCGGCTTGCATGAAAGCTCGCTTTAATTGAATCACCTATCACGGACAGAGCGAGCAGGCTGCACGTGCAGCATTTGTACGTCGAGACGACATCCGAGGTACAAGCAAGCAGCGATGATTTGCGTGACAAGGAATAGTGACGTGAGATGTCGTATTGCAACAGTGAATATACGTGTTTCTAAGTGAAACCCGAAGAATGAGCGAGTCAGAAATAATATTTAATATCTGATTGAATACTACATTGTGAAATTTAATTAACTATATAAAGCAAAAGAGAAATGTCCGTAGCTATGTATCGAGATAACGCTGAGATAATAAACGTGTGCTCAATTTATAATTTAGATAGTAGCTTAATTATAACTGTTGCAAGTTTGATATTATTTGAAACTTTGTTTTAATATAAAATATTAATTTAAGACTCCAAAGATACTTAATGTCTTCAATTAAAAAGTTGTGTAAATCGTGACTAATTAAATTACGTGGCGTTCTCTTCCTTTCCAAAGAATAAGAAACTCTTAATTTGAAAAAGAATTTATCATAGCGAAAAACATAGAACATAGCGTTTAAAATTTTATTTAAAAATATCTTATTATTATATGTTTATCTAGATATACATGTGTATACGTATACATATACATATTATCTTATACCTGTACATATATTGTTTATATTTATATGAAATATTTATATATTTTATATATATGTACACATATATAATATATATAAGCCTTAATACAAACTGAAAGTCAATTGATTGAACGAATTCGCTCTAACAATCGCCAACCGCATATAATAGATCAATGAGTTGTGGTACAACACATTCGAAGCATGTCACGTAAAAAAGATAATGAAAATGATATGTGTGATAGAAAATACTTTACATTGTTGTAAAAAATGTATCATTTAATATACAATCGCACGCTTCATGTGTGACGTTTTTACAAAAAAATATATACACAAATGTCTTTACAAAATATTAAAATTTAAAGAAATATATATTTATCTCTTTATAATATTAACTTTAACCCATCAAATGATATTTCAAACGCATGTTGTTTATGTGTTTATTATTTGGATAAATAAATTTGGTATATAATGATTTTGTATAGAATATAAATACGTTATTAATGTACGATATATTGCATCAAATTAATTTCTGCTGACTGTCGGTATAGTCTACCCGTGTAATAAACAAAATAAGATTAATATTAATTGCAACTCCCGTTTCTCTTGCTCACATTTAGAATTAAAACGTATTTTCCAGGTGCGATGTCGACATAAAAATTTTCCATTACGTAGTTTTGTTATTAACGCCGAGAGGATTTAACGAGGGGAAATAATGCATACAGGCGATTTCTACCTATTCATCGAATTTTCAACGACATTATACAGATGCAAATGGCAAGATGAAATTTAATCGTGGGCGATGGATTCGTGCGACACCCCCGCATATGATTAAATTATTTTGATCAGACAGCAAACAGACGGGAGATACGTGCAATGCAGATTTCTCCCACGTGTAAATATTAGGGCGAACAGATAGTATGATAGAGGATGCGGTCGCACGTTGCAACATCACGAGGACACAGTGCGTTGCATATTTTCGCACGAATCCATCCACGTGTCGCGATTCTTTCAAAATTTTTCAATTAAAGCCTTGAAACGCGTATTAATAAAAAAGAAACCAATTTTTTTCCTTACTTTTCTGTATAATATGTATAAAACTTGGGGATAAAAAAAGAAAACAAATTTCTTATCTTTAATTTGTAAATAAGAGAACTTATGTGCGAGAAAAATCGTAATATTGCTCGACTTTTAGCACGCCAATATCAGAAATAAATAAAACAATTTACATAGAATATACACTCAGATTTTATAACGGCTCAAGTGAATATAACAATATATCGAGTTAAAACGATGTTCATTGTATAATGAAGCCACCCATAAATTTGTGCAAGCTAAATAGCGGATTCAAATCTCGTTCTTAAAAGATTATTTTATGCAAGAAGGGGACACATCATTAGGGGCGACTGCGACATTACAAGAAATAAATTCGTAAACCGGTTCGCATACAATTCCGTGGATCATTCAGGGGTTTAACGTGCCTGGAACGACACAACGAGCGGCGATCCGGAACGTGAAATTGCATACGAGGGTGGTGGGCCACATACACATACCTACGATAATTTCGCCAAGCTCGATGATTAACGGGCAGCAATCTCAAAAACGTGGCGACCGTTATCGCGCGCGAAGAACGAGGTGATGCGGCGCAGCGGCCATAATAAGTCGTTCATCTCGGACCGCGATAATTTTGCAGCTGCAACCCCGATAACCCCCGAAATTGATGAAATCGACCGGCCGGGAGGCGGAAAGACGAGGGCACACGGCATGCGGCGTAATGCGGAACCGCAGTTTCTACGAGGAATCCTCGGCGGCCGCCAATAAATTATCCGCTCGAGTACCTACTTTGCTTGGCTGTATCTATCCGCGCGGATAAAGCAAGTTTGTGGCTGAACACACCCGGGTTAAGACGAGTGCCTCACTGACTTCGCAGAAGACGGCGGTGGATGCCAATCGTGGCACGAATTAATAGCCAGCGGAGCACCATTTGCCGTTATTTGTTAAAAATAATGGTCTACACATCTATTACTCTTCCCACACATCGCTTATTTCTTAATGTCCCAGTGTAATGAAACTATCAATTTCAGGTCTCTGTTCATTGCTCTTACGCGTTAAGAAATTTCTATTGTAGCTGAATAAGAGGTCGTCTCGATCCTATTTATTAGTTTTCGAATATGTCCGCATTAAATTTTCTAACTGATTAATATACATACTTGTCTAAATTCTATTCTTAATTAAAAATTTTTATCAATTCATTACTTAATATTACATATTAGAACTGACTTTTTATTTATTAAACAATGTATATAGAAATAATTTCTTTATCATTTCTGAAATTTATTAAAATGTTTATCTAATATAAAAACTATATAAAAACCGGAAGAAGAAACACTCGAGGAATGAAAAACTACGAACGCATATACCACCCAATTGAAATTTATTAGAACTATCTCAATTGATTAGAATTCTAATTGGTTTCGAGCAATAAAGCTGAAAGTTAGCGTCACGACGAATAGATCCAAAAGCAACGTACTAGTTAATGATATACAGTTAACGTCTTCATCAATGATATATATAATTTCACTATGAAATCTTTTTGAAAAGAGAATATCTTACATATATACTTAAAATCTTTGACTCTACGTTTTGTATTCATCATCATAGGGAACACAATGACGCGTTAATAGATATTAGCACTTCCTCTAAGGATCTTAGCTTAGCAGGATCTATAGAATTACGACAACAACTATTGTCTTCTTAAGCTAATAGTTCGTCTACTGCGCGTCGTGAAAGTTTCGAAACTAGATAATCGGCGCGCTGGGTAGCACGATAAACGCATCTGCACGATCATATTATGCCTGGGATGATTACTGCGAACTTGAAGATTTGCATGAACGTTTATCTGATATATATATATATATATATTAAATTAAATTCTACGCCATTAAATTAAATTAAATTTCACGCCACAGGATAATGCTAATTATACTAATCATTGACATCAAAACTTAATGTATTACACATCTCTAATTTTGAATTTTTCAGGAATTCTCTAATCGAAAAAGATTATATTTTTCACGATACTAATCATACATATAAGATTGCAATTCTTCTCTCTCTCTCTCTCTCTCTCTACTCCTACAGTTTTTGTTTTTATCACGGATTCTTTCCTGTATCAGATATCAATAAAAGCCATCCACACCTTAATAGACTAGACAATACTACAGTATCATGTTCTTGCTTTGCAGGTAATATCCGAATATTGTCGGACACGTCTACAAGCAAGGCCCTTCACACACATAGTAATGGAGATGTATCGAGAGGTTGTGAGGTCGCCGCAATACGCCGCACGGAAACGAGCAATGCAGCTGAATGCTCTGTGCCCGACACGGAATATGGTTGAGCAATTGAACCAACAGAAAATCTACGGGCATCATCATCATCCGCAACAACAGCAGCAAGACTACGTTCAAGTTGCGAATGGTCAACCACCGTCTATTCAACACCAGACTCGTGTCGGGCAATATTTACCGAATCAATTAGCTCTCCAGCAACGGCAACAGCAACAACACGATCACATTCAACGTCAGGCTAATCAATTTCGCTCGCTTCACCAACAACAGGATTATGTACAACAGCCACTAAAGGGTCAGCAGGATCATCGTAGTTATCATTATAATCATCAACACGCGAAAGGAACGCATTTCAGGGCACAATCGCGCAATTCCCAATCGCATCCCAATTTGACGAGCTTATGCGACTCGCAACAGCAGCAGCAGGAACAACGGCAGCAACAACAGCAACAACAACCACAACCATATAGGGATACTGCCCTTAGCGCCTACAGAACGCACTTTCAATCGCAGCTGGATATCCAAAGCGGCAGCCGATCGATAGGACCAGCGACGACACGTCGGATGCATCATCACTCGAGGACGTACTCGCAGCCGGTTTACACGCGACTTCAACATACCAGGAGTAGTGGCAATCTACCAACGACGACGAGCGCGATGGTCGACGGTAATCCCGACGGGAATGTTTACAACGACCCGATATATGCTCTGCCAGTTAAGCCCTTCCTGAGCTCCCAGGATGTGCGAGTCAATGGATTGTCTGCGAAATCTCCCGCGATCTGTCACGGCGACGAGGTTTATGGTAGATCGTCATCGATAAACAGGTACACACTGGATAACATTCGCATACTTATATTTAGAGAAATCAATCGATATTGTTTATAAAACAAAGGGTTAATTTTTTTCTATACTTTGCAATATTCTTTTCTCGCGCGTTTCTGAGATATTAATTGAAAACTCTTTCAAAAATAGGCATCCTTCAAATACCGGTCATTCTCAACCTGATATAACTTCCCAACCAAATGAACGTCTTCACGAAGATATATACGGACGAACGCCTTCGGGAAGAGTGCTCTTGCAAAGGCAACACTCGAATCCGCAGCTGCCAAACAGGATGCAAACTGACGAAGATTTTAAGCGACTGTCACAGCCGAGCGTAGCAACGACCGAATCTCGATGTGTCGATATTACGCAAAAAGGACAAACGATACGGCAACAAAGTTCAGCAACCACTATGAGACTGAGAGGACTGCAAGGACCCCCAAAACCACCTCGAATTATTACTACCTTAAGAAAAACCGCTCTCTCCGATTCGGAATGTAATAGCCACACGGAACCGCCAGCAAAGCCTCCCAGGTAGGTTTCTCTCATTTCTTATAGGTATTATAATCAATTATCTGCGTTAGTTTACCACGGTCTATTACACGTTAACTTTCTATTGCAATAAAAGAAAGAAGAAAGTAGATTATTCGTCAGAAAATTGAATTACATATTGCAGTTTACTCATTATTAGAGAAAAAACATTTAATCCCGATCCAATTTGCTATTTCGAATCGTTACAAACTACCTAAGCTAGCAGATAAAATTTTAATCAATAATCAATTTCATTTAGCACAAGAAGAAAAGAAAAAGAAAAGTGTTTCTGGTAGTTCCATTCTTTAATTAAACGTCCTTTTATTTATCTCTCTGAGAAATGTCTCGTAAGGTTTCAAAGCTCTTTCTTAAGAAGACACTAATATAAAACATTATGCACCGTATTTATATACTGCAAGAGCAAGTAAACTCGCAATTTTATATAACGATAATGTCGGATTACGGATAATCCATGAATTTATTTCTTTAAATTTTTACTCTTTCTCTACCAGAAATTCATTCGTTCAAGCTTACAACGGAAACGAGCGTTTTGAGGTAATAAGGAAGCAAATAAGGACATATGAGAGACGTGAAACAATTTCGCGATCTTCATGCGCGACCCGCATTACTAAGTTTTGCCTCCCAGTCGCATGTTCCTATTAATAAGCGCTTACGAGGGGTTCACTCTATAATAGAGAGACACGTCAGAGATAATTTTCCTCTGATACATCGTGCTTTCGAACAGTTCATTAGAGTTCCTCAAGTAAAATTAAAGCACTGAGTAATGATTTTGGATTGATCCGCCACATGTAATAAGGAACATACGATGAAAGTAAAATAATTATTTTGCTTTAATTGCTTTCTCTTACGCAGTCGTAAATAACAATAGATCTACGTTTTTTCTTAGCGAAAATAAAAATCGAAGAATAAGTTGAATATAAAAGGAGAGTAACAGAAGCATAAATGAAACTTCTAGGAGAAAATTGAAACAACGAAACATAAAAGAAGCGTAAATGCCTACTTTACGTTTCACAGTGTCGATTTTCGCCTCCTAAAAGCTTCGTTTACGCTTCTATTATTATACTTTTCCGTTACATTCGACTTATACGGTCCAATTTCTATTTTCGCTAGGATTACAAAATAGAATGAGACAGATATCTTATTGATAATGGCTGGATGTCCTATCTCTTACTTGACGGGCTCAGAATACATTCAGAGCGCATAAAAACCAACTGGATGATGCAGCTAGTAGTCGAATGCATGCTGATCGACTGCTCAGCATCTATGTTCGTTGTGGAAGATCGAAACGCGGCGTGGATGGCGCGCGGTAGCACCCTTTGACCTTTATAAGAGTTACGGAGCCCTAGATTTTATGAACATTCAAGCGGAAATAAAACAAAAGCACATATTATGTTAAATAGGAATAATTAATACTTTTGTTGTAAAAATTATAATAAGTTGAAATCAAAGTGGTTAAATTAAAGTTGCTTACAAAACAATATCCAATGTAAAATATTCACTGCATTACTTTGCAACTTTGACATTTAATCTTGAATGACATATTGTAATATATATATATATATATAACTCATAACCTTTAATCTATTAACCGTATTATTTACATTAATAATATTTCATAAAATGTTAAACAATGACTTTTAATTCAATCACCTGGTATTTTTAAAATTTTAAATAAATTCAAGTATGTTTTTTATGTTATAATATTTTCACAAATTTTTGCTGTTCTCCCCCTTGAACATTACATTCCTAATCGCAAAAATTAATTTTGGCTCTGAGAAAACGTGCGACCTTCTATCACGGTAAGTTCTCGGTGAAGGACAGAATACGAAGAAAAGAGAAAGATGAGAAAAGCAAAAGACAAGGAGAACATTTAGTGATGCCCTAAAAAAGCATCCGGATTCTACTCCAGTTAAAGTTTAATTAAACTCGATGCGAGAGTTCGTTTACATCACTGTATATAGCGTTTCACGTGATGTCTGTCTGCGAAATTTTGCTGTAGGAGGTTCGGTTCACTGCATAATTAGGTGCATCGTGGTCTCTTATGCCAAATGAAAAGCTGCGCTTTACTCAATTTATATTAATCACGTGACAGAGAAAAAGATAGAGGAAAAAAATGAAACTGGCCTCTTAGCGTCAGATCGTCGTTAATCAATTACATTTGACTTACTATAGGTAATTATCTATAGTAAGTCAAAATTATAATCCTGCTTTTTATACTGAAATATTTTACTATGATAATTTGTTTTTTTTTTGTTACATTTAGAAAAATCGTTTAAAAATATTTTCAGAATCATGGTGAGGAACGGGCCAAGAGCTCGACGAGGAAAAGCAGTTCAAAGAGCACCGTCGCGCTTATATAGAACCGTAGGTGGGCCCACGAGGTGTTTCAACAAGGCGCAATGTGTTGGTCCTGAGTTTGTAGTTCGTGCCAATCAACCCCCAAAAACATTATGTGTGGGACAAGTCAAGGTATGAAAATAAAAATATTATACATAACTAAAAGACGCAAATAATTTTGAATTGAATTTTAACCTGCTTGATATACACATTTATCTTTTATTTTTAACTTTCCATTTATAATAAATTCTAAATTATTAAGGTTATAAATGAACTATATATTTCATATAAGCAAATTATATATCTAACGAGAGAGAGAGAGAGAGAGAGAGAGAGAGAGAGAGAGAGAGAGAGAGAGAGAGACACACACACAGAGAGAGAAACAAAATATTTAAACTCTGCTTTGATCTCTCTCTCTCTCTCTATCTCTATCTCTCTCCTCCCTCTGTCTCTCTCCTATACATTGATTTTAAAAAAAAAAAAAAGATTAAGAGACATAAAAAAATAATTTAAATAATTGATGCATCTGTAATGTACAAAAAAAATTAATAAGCGACTTTATTATCAACATCTTCATAAAGTTTTGTGAAATAAAAAAAAATTTCCGGTACCGGGAATCGAACCCGAGCCTCCTGGGTGAGAGCCAGGTATCCTAGCCACTAGACCATACCGGAGGTTGTGTGACTGTACTATTATGAACCGTCACTCTTATCCGTTATTTTCCTTAACGTATTATAAATTATTTTAGAATTTGTATGTAAGAAAGTAAAAATTATTTTTAAAAAATATTAAAGTATACGTAAAAAAGTATAATCAAAAAATATATAAATATAAATAATAATAGTAAACAAAAGCTCTAGATGTCAAAACAATAATAAAGATAAAGTAAAGGGCAAATCCGAGAGTCGTCGATGAATAGAATAATTTGTCATATACAAATTATTACTATTTATTTATCGGATTCGTCCTTTACTTTATCCTTATTATTGCAAAAAATATATTCCGGTACCGGGAATCGAACCCGAGCCTCCTGGGTGAGAGCCAGGTATCCTAGCCACTAGACCATACCGGATATAACGATGATCGTTTCCTAAATAACGATCACAAAGCATACAGAGATAATTATATTTTTAGAAAGTGTATTATTATATATTATATTGTTAAATTAAAATACTTAATACCCAATAATTTAGATGCTATTAATTACTAATATTTTTTATTATATTATATTTAATTTGATATTTATTAATATTTTAATTATTTAGAAAAGGAAGTCAATTTATATTTATATAATCAAAAACATTAAATTTAAAATTGAAATAAAAATATGACATATTGCAGTTACAAAATTTAAAAAAAATTGAAATTTATTTTGCTAACATTATGCAACACATGTAAAAAAAAATGAAAAAAAAAATACGAAAAAAATAAATTCCGGTACCGGGAATCGAACCCGAGCCTCCTGGGTGAAAGCCAGGTATCCTAGCCACTAGACCATACCGGACTTGAAATGAAGGAAGCTAAAATTTGTACATTACTATAATATCGGTAATATTATATTATACTTGAAATTATTTTTAAAATAATATATATATAATACTCTATTATATTGCAAAATATCAATTTATTTCACAGAATAAAGCAAAAGTGATTAATGGATCCATACAATAAAATATTACTAAGCAATTATCCGACATGAAATAAAACATAAACAAGAAAATATTTTTTATTTAAAAATGTATATTTAACTTTCTAAAAAAATATAATATAATAAAATATCTATTTTTATTCAATAACTCGATCACCTTTAACAGATAAAATATCAAAAAAATATATTAATAAAAAGTGTGTTACTTAATTCATTATAAAATTTATTTGCATTATTTTTGCAACATAATTTAATTTATTCTTCTTATTTTGCTAAATTTGAATAAAAAAAATTCCGGTACCGGGAATCGAACCCGAGCCTCCTGGGTGAAAGCCAGGTATCCTAGCCACTAGACCATACCGGATTACATTCAGGGAGTCTCTTAAGAACTCACTTCTATCTATACAAGGGTAAAATGAAGTAAAAAAATTTCCGGTACCGGGAATCGAACCCGAGCCTCCTGGGTGAAAGCCAGGTATCCTAGCCACTAGACCATACCGGATTTCGGTATCATCCCTCAACCTTACTATGTACGTGGCATTGTATAAGCAATATGGATTATGTTAGTATAATTTCAAAAATTTTGTGTCTCTTGAATAAAAAAAAACTAACAATTAATATTATATTACATTTATTTTTACTCCAAATTAAATAAAATAAAATATTGATTTTATTTAATTAAAATAAGTGTTTTATATATTTGAAGCTTACATTCATTTTTGTATAAAATATAATTATAATTTATTATTTTCATATTTTAATATTGTATTAATATTTGCGTATTTCATAAATATTTGTATCAACATAGAGTTGCCGCGAGAGAGAGAGAGAGAGAGAGAGAGAGAGAGAAAGAAAGCCGATATAATAATGGGTAAACTAATATCTCGTTTGTTTGTGTAGGCGGGTAACTCTGGCCGGATAGTTGTAATAATGCTAACAGGACAACGCGTGGAAGTCACTTGTGATCCTCAAAAGGTCACTGCGGGGGATTTATTTCAGGTAATTAAAAAACCATAGCGCACTAACTTTGTTAAATTTTCATCAACTATAATGAAATAATGCATGTCTTAAAATTTAAACAAAGGATGAACAAAAAATAAGATATTGTACAAAGTTTTTGTTCAGCATTTTTGAAGGTTATTAATAAAAAAATTATTTCATAACATACTCCAAAGTTCAACTATAATCTGAAACGCATTGATCTTAATTTGTAATCATTACTTCACTGACAGTCATTCGCAAATAACATTCACTTATCTACAAATCAATCTAGTGATTAATTGGTTATTCCTTTCCTTGTCAAATTTGTACATGTAATACGTTAATCCAAAAGATAATGAAGAAATAATAAACATTGTTCGCATTTAAACATTATGATAAGCGCCAATTTTAATTAATCAAATTAAATGAAATAATTTATAATTCAATTTTCGGTAATATTCTTCAATCGTACTATCATGTGTTTATTGCATGTACTTTTTTTATCTCTTAAGATTTTTTTTTTAAGAATTTTTTTTAAGAAATTATATTTCATGACGCTAATAAATTGGATATAAGTGAAATAAATATCACACATCTCGCAAGAGAGCTTCGTAAAAAATTATTTTTCATTTGTTGGGTCCGCGAAAGAATGTAATCTACCGATATGTATCCCGGTAAAAACCTTTTAAAAAATATACTTTATCCTCCCATTCTCGAGCGGAACTCGTTCGATCGTAATGTTAGCGCGACGGTGGCCTCTCAAAGCCACACTTAGGCCGCGAAAGCCAAGACATGGCCGGTTGTTTACGAGACCACAAATTCCGGCGTGAACTCGCGAGAAGTTCTGGCGAGCCGCCAAACCTAATCATTATATACGACTGATCCACAAACCACGAGTTATGTGATCTCGACGACGAACGTATTGTGCAATTCCTTCTTCCATAAAAATCTGTGTTTCAACATTTGTTCAAAACTAACATTAGAGGCAGACACTTTTCTTATGACACTACCAATAAAACTGCTAATAAATTGATGACAATATTATTTTGAACTATTACAGAAATATTATTAAAGTTAAAATAAAATTATATTATAAACTAAAACCATTACGATAATTAAACAATTGAAAATAATCATTCTATTATATGTATTATTATTGAACCACAAAAATGAAGCAAAAGAATTTAATATATGTTATTATATTGCACAAATTTTTTACCAAAATGTGACAAAATTATAAAAAAATTATTAATTTTTCTATATTTTATCTAAAAACAATACAAAACATTTAGCAACAATTTAGAATTTGGATCAAAAATAATTTAAATAAAAGGTATACAAAAATTTGTTTAATTAAAATAAAATGAGAAAATTTTTATTTAAACTATAAAATGGTATCATTAAATATATAAATATATTGACCTTATTAAACTTTCTGTTTCATATGTATATGTATATTTATTTTTATATTGAAGGTATAAATTTTCAATTTCAGTCACATTTTATAGACTCTGATACATCCTTAATGGCATTTAATTTCACTAATCTAAAAAGATGGGTCTCTGTTTTGTTGTCTCTGCTCGCAACTCTGTATCTGCCACTCAATCCGAGCTTTTGAACGTGACCAGAGTATTTTGTCGTGCAATTTTTAATAAATGGTCGATTTAGAACGCCCAAGAGCTCGCTGAAAACTTCCAAATTGGATTACTCCTGCAGACTCGCGCCAATAGAAAATTACGTCTGCGGCAGAAATGCGTATCATGTCGCGCTATAATAATCTTTTAGAACAATCAAATGCACACCCGAGCTCTCTGCATTTAATTGCTTGTCTCGCATAATAATTTCGCGCTGAATCGTAGTTTACGAACACCATTTTAGCTTTGCCTCTCGCGTTTCTTACACATATTGCATAAGTAGAAATATCCATAGCACACATAGAAATATACTAAATATATCAAATTGTGCTATCAATTTATGCTAGAAATTGATATAACAAATAATTATATTACATTTACGTCTATAAAGTAAATCATTTATATAATCACCGTTTTATATCCGCAATATTAAAACTGTTCTCAGTTAAAGCAACATAATATATGAATTTACTAATCTCAGACACGTTTTGTGATATCATTTTATACATTGTATACGCAAATCCTTCCAGGCTATTGTTCAAGCGGAAAGCCTCGATGAAAACTTCACTCTAGGGTTGGCCGTACTACTGGCCGGGGATTTCGCAATGTTACCACCAGACACGAAATTAAATAAAGTCGCACCACCGGGATGGTTAAGCAGCGGTAAAAGCAAAGGTTTACTGGGTCTACCGACTAGTTTCATGCTGTACCTGCGACTTCGATTCTTCCTACCATCTCTTCGTGGCACCAGGTTAGTTCGAACCAAAAAAAACGACAGTATATGACTTGACTAACGTTCGTATCGTTTCCAGGAGTTGGATATCGAAGCATTTGCTATATCTGCAAATAAGGCGATGTATACTGGAACAGCAGCTGGTATGCCCATATTCCGAATTAATCAATTTGACAGGCCTCGCACTTCAAGCTGAATTCGGGAATTACAACGCCAACGTGAGTTAACGAATGATTTATGTAACGCACGCTATTTGAAATGAAATTACCGTCACGATACAAAACAATTAAATGTTACAAAATGATTATTAAGCTCTAAATCATCGAATAATTAGATAAAATTAACTAAAATAAGAAATTGTGAAACAGATAAAGAATATTTGTGAATATTACATGGAACGCGATTAACTTCTACTTCACAATTATAAAATCTAAGAATTTCATATATATGTGAATCTAATGATAATCAAATTCAAAGATGTCAAAAACTTCCTAAAATAACGAATTCTCAAATTTAAGTAAAATTGGTTAAAAAAAACAAATATTTCAAAATTTTAACATCATTCATTCCATTTATCAATACTTTCTAAATTAGGATGTTAAGATGTAATATATATTATCTATATTATAGTATAATATAAATATAATATACATACATGACAGTATTATAAAATTTCTATACTGTAAATTCAATTATTAAATAACAACTATCAACACCAAAGATCAACGATTGCATTCTCAAGCTTAAGTAAATGTCGATTGTCAGAGACATTATTTTGATCTATTATGACAGAGTTAACAACAATTCTGACATAATCCGTATACAACTTCTCTGTTTCACATCAGAGCTATTGTATATCCCACAGGAGCACGGCTGTGGAGATTATTTCCTCCTCGAGCACTACGTGCCGGAGTCTTTGATATTGAGCGCGGACCGGCATCAATCGCAGCCCTGCGTCGACGCCGATACACTTCGGGCGCAGTTACACCGCGCTCACCGCGACCGCCGTGGCTTGGACTCGAACAATGCCGAGGAGATGTTCATAACTCACGCGCAGTCCCTGCCGGATTACGGTTCGCACTACTACATTGCCACAGTAGACTCGAAGGAGTTAGAGAAACTGATGATGCGGCAGAGAAAGGGGAAGAGCACCGTGTCCGACAACCGCGATGCCGTGTCGTCGCACGACGGTGCAGGAAACGCTTATCGCAAGGAGAAATCCGCCCGGGATATCTGTTCCACCTATGGCAGGATCGGGAACCCGCGGTTAAATTCCCGCGAAAATATGCCGACGATACCCTACTCGGACGAGCACGCGAAGAACGCGGATTTATGCCGCGATGAAACGTGCAATAGCAACAACAAAAGTAACAATAATAATATTAATAGCGTTAACAGTAATAACAGCAAAAATAGTAAGAGCGGCAAGAAAAAGACGGAGAGCAACGTGTGGCTGGCGATTCATTCTCAAGGCTTGAAGTTGCTGGAACGAGGGGGCGAGCCAAGGGAAAGAACAGAATTGGCCCATTTTCAGTGGCGAGACGTGCAGACATTGAGTTACAGCAAGAGCTGTCTGGTGGTATACAGTAAGCTGAATGGGAAACGCTGCAAGTTTAAACTGCGGATGGATCATCGAAAGTAAGTTTACTCGCCGTAATTTCAAAGATCGATCGAACGAACAGTTTTAAATCGAATGTCGGCGAACACTCGAAAATGTGTATCGATCGTACGGCCTCATCGCCACCCTCTACCGCTTACAATAACGACGTTTACATAAAGAATTTTTCTATTTTCTAGAAGTTACTTCGCCTTCAAGCTCACGTCCCTGCATCATCAGTTCTTCCTCAGACTTCGTTCGGAGCTCACGTCGCTTCAAGGCCTCGCTAAAGGTACACGCGCTCTTTTCAGCCGATTAAGCTTGCTGAAACGTTTAGAACTTGAACTTTCCGCGGAAGTTACGCGACACAGAAAACTAGCTAAATCGTGACACTTTATCACAAGGATCTTGATTTTCCTTTTTTATGGAAATCTTTTTAAAATGTAAATATCGCAGAAAATTGTCCGCAATTATCAGCGATGATTGTACGAATAATCTGACACAAATCATAAAACTTTTTTTTTTAATCTAATATTTTAATTGCTGCTATCATTTTTTCATTTAGGTCATATTTTTATTTTTGTCAAATTTTCATACTTTTTAAAGTACGACAATTAATATATTTTCTAAAACTTTTAAAACAAATCCTACTCTGAAGAATGTAATTTCGCTCTTAAAGATTAAAAATTAAGTCAATCTTTTTTTAAAGACTGACTCAATTTTCATTTTTGTTTTAAAGTGAGATTCCATTCTCAAGAATTTTTGTAAGATGTTATTTCCTTGCAACATTTTTAAAGATATCGAGAAAAAAAAACAATCTACATTATTTTTCAGAGTTTGGAGTACCCCTGACGGAAATAAAATCTACACCATTGAAACCCAAGAGCATCGATAGTAAAACTAAGATAACAATCGCGAGCGCGGTTAAAGTACAGCAAAGAATAAGTTATCCGATGCAATTAGAGGAATACCAAAATAAGGAGAATGAAAATCCACAGAAAGATCCAATTGTAGTGACGACAACGAAGGACGCTGGTCGCGAACCAGCCTTTTATTCATCCGAAGAGGATGCTCTTTACGCACAAGTAAACGTGCGATTAGAACCAGAAGGTCAATCGCGAGACACAGAGGATGAATCGGAAAGAGGCTTAACGACGCCGCACAAGATCTTGTTAGAACCTAAAGAAACAAAACCGGAGCATGACAAACTCTACGGCTGTCCCGGTCTAGACGAGGCTGAAATCGAATGTACATATTCACTCCCAAAAGTTATGTCAAACAACATTAACCAACTAGATAAACCTAATAATCCTGAAGAACTATACGCCGCTATTAATAAAGTTCGACTATCGGGAAAGAACGAGTTCCCTGTTCCGGATGAAGTTTGGAATGTATCAGACATTAAAAAGACATTGCAAAAGGTAGTATATATGTTAGTTACATTTTATGTATTTTATCGATTGTTATAAAATACAATTATCAATTGTATTTTAAACTTGTGTTCTACAATTCTGTGTATTCTGATTCCTGTTTTTTCGCCTCTTATTCCGTTTTTTGTTTCTATCGCCCGAGATAAAAAAAGGTAACAGACTTAGGAAGAAACAAGAAATATGTGGTAAGAAATATAATTCTCAATAAAACGGTTGCAAAGATGGAAGAAAACAAAAGGTAAAAAGCAAGAAACAGGAAACAAAGAGCACATTGCATAATAGGTTTTAAGGTTCATATTCGGAACGTGCTTATAACAACGTTAGCGTGTATTTAACATATATTCACGTTACATATTCTATAGAATGTTAAAAATGAAAGCAAGTTTCCGAGGAATTTATTGATAAAAGCGCGTTTCGCATACGTACCTAATTGTTTAAATAAAAGAAAATCTAACAAGACTCTTGATATTAAAAATATAGTTTACAATATTTGGCTAATTAAAGTACAGCGCGGTACTTTGTGCGTAAAATGTCGCATGTATTCAGTTAAAGTCGAATGTTCCGACAAATTTCAAAATATCCTCAATGTAATTTCTTTAAACCTGACTCTTCTGACTGGAGATAAAGTTGTTACTCTGATGACATATTTCTAATATTTCACATTGATTGGAACTTCAGATGAAAACCGTTGAAATGGATAGCCCAACGGACCAAGAGCGTAAAAGTATAAATTCTTTCAGAAATAAAATAAAAAACCGCAGTCGTGTTGGACAAGCCAAGAAATAAAATTGATTATTAAAAATGAAATTCTGATTTCAATTTACTTATAATTTTGTTTTTTTATTTGTCCAACATGACTGTGTAGTTTTCTTATTTTATTTCTGAAAGAATTTGTACTTTCTTGTGCTCTTGATCTATTGAGCTATTTGATCTTTTGATGGTTTTTACCTGAAGTTCCAATCAATATAAAAAATTGGAAATGATATTGGAGTAGGGACTACCTCGATCTATAGAAGGGTGGAATCTAAAGAAATTTCGCGGAAGATGATTCAAAATGTAGTTGGAACTACTTATTTTATATTTAACTTAAATATAAAATATGTATGAAACTTTACGCACGAAGGACCAAGCCGTATTCTCATAAACTTTTTATTGTAAATTTTATTATTATTTACTATTCTCTCATTATTACTAATATCCAAATCTGCTATTAAACTTTCGACTTAATTATTTTCTAAATATTTATTTCATATTTCTTTATTTAATGAGACAATGTTATCATTCTAGATGAAAGCATCTAGCTTACCGAATTACGGTGCACCGAAGCAGTCGAGTGGTCTTCGTACACCTAGCTTGCCGCGTCGATTGGGTGTGAAAATGGGAACGCGAGCGATTTATAGCAGTTTAGTTCAGAAAGATACCGCGCTTACCGACGATACGGAATCATTGTCTCTAAAGTCCGACACCGAATCGTCTATTCAATCACTATCTGCACGATCTACCGAATCACCCATGCCAGAAGCATACGTGTTGAGTAAGTATAAATAATGTAAAAATATATTTTTCACATAAGAATTTTTTTTATACAAATTTATAATTACAATGATCATAAAAATAATTTTAATTAACTGTATTTATATAGAATTAAAAATTATTTTTGAAATTATGATTAAATATAGCAAGTTCTACAAGTTTCAAAAAAATGAGTCATTTTCATTTAAAAATATTCTTATAAGTGCTTATAAAAATTGTCAAGCACTCTATTAATAAAATGTTTAACAGCTAAACAAATTAAATACTTAATTAGCTGATTCTGTCATCGTTATTTCCAAACAATTTTTATATCTTACAAACATATTGTATTTATATTTATTATTTAAATTTATCATAAACATCATTGTTGAAATAAAAGTTTTATTTAAAATTCACGACTATTTTTTGCCGTGACAGATGCTGATGTACGAACCAATGACGAAACGTTCCGAATTCCTGACGATGAATCGATGTCTGCATCTTTAATGGCTCGTTTAGAAGAGCTGTCGTTCGCCGAAGAACGAATTTTACATACGATCAAATTGGAACGCGGCCACGGTGGTAGTATAGGTTTGCAAGTAATGGAGGGTAATGACGGTGGCGTTTATGTTCAGGCAGTTTCCGTTGGCGGATCAGCCGATATGGCCGGAAACGTAAACAAAGGTTCGGAAGTAAAATGTTTATGTTATTTCAAGTTAAAAGCATCTATCTATTCACAGTCGAGATAAAATTAACTACAACGCATCATTGTAATTAGCTATATACAATAACAAATGGATAAATTAAAAAATAAGAGAATATAATGCGATACGTAAACAAGTAAATGGATTTGAATTCGAAAGTAACATAAATAAATGAAAATTTAATTTTATATGTACAAAATTAAATATCGTTATTTAAATTTTTCTCGACAGGTGACCGGATTGTAGCAATAAACGGACAGAATCTGTTGAATCTTCGCTATGAAGATGCTCTGAAGATGCTGCAGAGCTCGTCTGAAACGATCGAGTTGGTTCTTTCGCAGCCTGCTATTCGAAAAAGCTTGGAATCGAGAAACGACCAAGACCAGGGCTCTGTAGAGAACAATTACTTACAGTGAGTATTTCTCAGACGATATAATATTATATTTAACGATTTACTAAAAGAAAATGTTTAAACACGTCTTGCAACAATTTATTTAGCGAATAGTTTCGGATAAATTATGCGTAGCATGCAGCATTTTACGTTATTTGTTTCTCTCGATTCAATAAATTAATATAATTGATTAATTTTGCAGATTATATAATTACTTTTATTCCGTACAAAAAAAGAATTTCGCTATATTTCCGTAGTCTTAACTCTTTCATTCTCTATCTCATTCACAGTGATATCAAATTTGACGTGTCATCGGAAGCGGAAACGTCTAGCATGATGAACAAGTGGATCGTTCAAAAAACCACGGATGTAGCGTCGGTACAGAATACTTCAAGCGCATATAGTAGTGCCGCATCTAGCGCTATGGGCAATCACAATAATACCAACAGCCTGTACATGACTGATCTCGTTGACAATAACGCATTAAAATCTGCCAGCATGCTGCTATCAATAGAAGATTTCGACGTCAGTAGGACAAGTCGCCAAGTTTTCATATAGGTAAGTCTACTAGATATAATCCGAATATCTAAATACTCGCGTATTTCATATTAGCATATAAAATTTTGTCAACGTAAAAACCTCTCGACAAGTTATTACATTTTCTATTATTATTGACTACACACATGACGGAATCTCATAAAAAATTCTATTTGCGAAATGACTTATTTCTACTATGCCATATATGGTTGTACCGAACATACGGTAGCCCTCGCTTCGAATGTAATCGAATTGTTGTTATCCGATTAGCGAAGCCCTTGTCAGAGCTACTAAAGTTCGTAACTCTTGGTCGTTTAAATTAAATATATCAAGAAAGAACTGCGAAAATAAGAATAATCTTTTTTACTGTTGAGCAAATCTAATATAATTTTATTATACAAAAATAAAGTAAAATATCTGTTGATTAAATCTATTTCTTTAAATCGACTAAAGTTTAAGTAAGATATAAATATAATATATATATGCTTTCATATTTTTTATATAATATACAATATATAGAATATTATATATTTTTTATACAGGGTACAATAAATTTCAAACATTATGTTGCAATAAAATACATTTGAATTCAAGTAATATTACGTAACGTTTTCATGTCTCTGTTTTTAATGAAATTATAATATATATCTAACATGATAGCTAAAATATATATATCTAACAGAAATTTAAAACTTGGCAATTATACAATAGATAAGCATTGGTATTGACCGTGTCCCAGGAAGGGGAAGTCTGTGTCATTTCTAAGGAATCATCTTTAGTATGTCTCGGACAGTCTGACGTCGTGGTTATCTTCTCGTGTTTAAGTTTTAGATTTAACAATTCGTTCGCTAAGGATATATCATCGTTTGCATTATGTACAATTGTAAGAATAGCAAATGTAATAGCAATATCATAAATAATGTATCATTTTCGAATTCTATTAAAATCTTATTTTTCGACTTTCTATCGAAATTGAAGAATCTTTCTCTAAAATCCCAAATCTTTTCTATGGCAGATAACGGAAATTCGACCAAACCACCTGTGCCACCGCGGCGAACGAAACGCAAAATCAAGATTGCGCCGATCGAATCGTCGGTGGCGAACAACGGTGCAACAGAAACCACGAACGACATCGCGATATCTCAGCAAAAACGTCCGCCGCCGCAGCCGCCGCTTTTACTGGAAAAATGTCGACGAAACAATTGTGGATATGTCAAAACCCGCCAGCCGCAATGCGACACTTCGGCAAACTGTCCAAGAGTCGATACCAAGCAACATCATCGCGAGAATCGCGTCGCTGCGTCGAGGATGATCGAAGTAAAGCATCGCGACAATACGACATCCATAGAAGACAACTCGACATCGAGCAACAGCGCAAACAATCATCCAATTCCAAAGTCAATCGTATCGAAATCATCTTCTCACAACGTCGTGTTACCTAAAATCGACAAATATCCACCACTCTTTTTCACTCTGCACGATTTCGAGAATGTAGTGTCCGATACATGGAACAGAAACGAATCCGTGGGTCCTAGGAACTCGCAAAATTTACACGAGAAAGAATCGACGAAAGCGCACATATTGGATGATGGCGATGACGTTTGTTTTCGTGTGACAACGACGAGTCTTCCGTTCGAAAAGTGTCTAGGCAAATGGAGGGATCCTTTTGATGATGACTTCTCTCGGAAGTTTGACGATTACCGATTCGAAGATAGCACGAACGAAAACGATAAGGGAGCAAATGATAAGAGATCATTTGATTATAATAATGTTTTCGATAATAATGACGAATCGAAGTATCACGTAGGCACGAAGGTACGATTCATGATCGAATCGCCAGGTTCTTCCCGGTCCAAACGCGACTCTAATGTAAAAATTAGTGTGCCATGTAACAGTTTGCGGAGCCACGAATCCATTCTCAACAATGAACAAACCGGTGAACGAAGCACCGTTTCTTCCGTGAAACTGACTGAGATCCGAGAGGAATTCGCGGACGTAAAAGATTGCTGCGACAATGCACGAGATAAATCATACACGTCGAGTGTCGACAAAAGAAATTCCGCGACGGGAGAAGACGATCCTTTTATAATGCAGGTAAACGAAGTTGACGTGAAATTAAAGGAGATTCCACAAATGTATTGTAACGATAGAAATAATGACGTTAATTGCGAGAAAATTCGAGAGAAAGATTCCGATTTGATACCGCGGAACGTGCAGGCCAGCGATGAGATTCTCAAAACCAAGAAGAAAAATATAATAACGGGAAAAATTATTACAAGTGACGTAAAACAAGTGGATCAAAGTAATACTTCTTCAGGAATCGTGGAAAACGTTCGTTTTATAGATAACAGTTTAGAAACAGCTTGCAGAATTGAAAAAGAGACAAAAATAACACACCGAGAAGAGGAAATGCTTTCGAAAAAAAGTAGCGATGACATCAAAGAGAAGTGTGTTGCCAAGAATGAAAAATTCTTATCCAATGAGTCATTCCAAAACGAATGTAATGATAATGGTGGATCGAACAGGAACATTTCCACTGATAATCTTATAAACAAGTCAGATAAAATTGAACAAACTCGACTACTTCAAAAGAATAAGAAAAAAAATAATTCTTCCGAGGATTCCAAGAATAATCATGATATTTTCGCGAAGAATGTTCCCGTGAAAGTTAAGCAAAATTCTTTTTTGGAAACTATGCTATCTAATGATTCAACAAATATCTCGATGAATTGTGCCATAATTTCTGTAACTTCAAACATTGATAAAGAATTAAGCACTAATAAAACATCAAATAAAATTCGGAAATTAGATGTAGATTTTATGACAGAAAGTGAACGTTCGCGTGATTTAAGTAATACGACAGAAATAAATACAAAGAAACAAACAATTTTGAACAATTCTAAGGAAATAAAAGAAAAAATCGTCAAGACTTCGAACATAAAATCAACACAATCAGAGAATAAAAGTGCCAGTGACGTAAAGAATGACGTGCTGAATGAACTTCTCTGCAATTTTAATAACATAAAATTAAAAATAGTGAGTCCCGAGAATAAAAAATTTGCAACAAAGATAGGTGAAAAGATACCATGTCCGATTGCGATTGATAGAAAAATTTCCAAAGAAAAGGAGAACGCGTCTAAATCTTTGGAAAAATCTCGAAACGAGGTTTGCAGCGTTCTTCTAAATACCAAAATTACTAATGTAGATAATGATATAAAGATCGTTGAGAAAATTATAAAGGAAGAAAATAGCATGAAAATAAACATTAGAAAAAAGCCTCAAAATCTCAAGAACGACACTCCAACGATCAGTGAGAAAATTATAAAAAATGAAAATATTGAGATTAAAAATTCTAACAAATCCTGCGACATCAAAAGTGAAGTTGCAAAAGATAACGCCAAAATGATGATCGGCAAAAATTCATCGGATATTAAATTAGAAGAAGAGATCAATGTAAAGATGAAAATTAGGCAAACCTCCGAAGACATAAAAAATGCGATCGAGATTACCAATCGAGAGCTTAAAAAATCACGTGATATTCGTGTTCTCAAGACAATACTTAAGAAAACTAATATTGAGTGCGGGCGGCAAAAAGAGAACGAATCCCAAAAGAGAATTTCCATCGGGGCACCTGCGACAATGAACAAGATTTTCGACAGTAGAGAATTGAAGGCGATCGCAGATGCATCGTGCAAGAATAGCCTGGAAAACGGCAGAAAGCACGAAAGAGCTTCGAGGGAGATTCATACTCGCAGCGAAGAAAAGACTGATGAAGTAATCGCGAATGATGAGACCGATGATGATCGAAGCAGGATCACGAATCGGTCGGCATTAGTATTAGTAGAGGATACAATGAATAGCGGCGATAAGTGTGCCATAGCTAGGAAAACTATTTCCGTAAACCCTTATAATAATAATGACAATAACAGGGCCGTAACACCCGTAGCTAACATAAGTAACGACCAATCGTTTCGCGACATTGTAACGATAACCCCGGGTAAAGTTAGGAGTTTCGTTAAGTATTACGAGATTCGGTGCGACGCGACGACCGTCGAGAAACATTCTAAAATTAACGATAGGGAGAAAGTAGCTAGGCGTAAGTTCATGAAGAGCCAAGCGGTGCCCCTCGCCACGAAGAATTCGCAGCGGCCGAAAGGTGTAATAATGAAGAAAAAGGAAACGAAAGGTGGAGGCAAGAGTGTTAAATCAAACGATTGCGACCTTCCCGAAACGTCCAACAAAACTCAACCTTCGACGTTTGTTCCGAGGGTCCCGGAAAATCCTTTCCACAATTCAACCCTTAAAACGATAAAAATAGGATCGAAGATGGAGAAGTATGAAAAGAGCGGCTCGCATATGTCCGATAAAGAGACACGTGCGCCGTTCACTAAGACCGCGAAAAAGTCGGTACAGTTCCTGGGCGGCTTCACCGTAATTCACTCAGAAACTTTTGGTAAAGACGAATCCGCGGGAATTACAGACTCCGATACAAATGCGTTGAAAAAGAGGAAAGCCCCTGGAATACCGTCCTCGCAGGATTCCAATAATCAGAAACTTGTTCGCGAAATCGCAAAATCAGAGAAACCGCTAAACGTCGGAAAAGGTACCCTCCGACCACGAGAAGCCGTAACTCAGGTTAGTAGCAAAATTTTAATTGCATTATTCAATAAATCGTATCTAATAATAATTACACAAGTACAAAAAATGTTTTTTTAATTGCTTTAAATCAAGCATTTCAAACTGCGCGCCGAAATTTCGGTCTTGAGACGCAAGCTTGATTGCGATATTGAATTACTGTCATAAATTAAATTGATAGGCGATTTGATAATTTGATACTCTATCGACATCCTATTACAAAATTTCAATATGTTGAAAATCAGTAAATAAATTTATTATCACGAAAAATATTATCTCACTCGGGAGTCAAACTCGTATCTCTAACATTTTAATTTTTTTTAATGCTGGAAACTATGCGATAAGCAAAATGTCACCAACATATCAGATTTTTGAAATAATTGAGATTTAATGACTTTCCTAATCTTTCATAACTTGGCTAAAAAATAAAATGTTAAAATTAAAAAAAATGCATTTTATAGGAAATAAACGATACATTCGTGACTTTTGAATTAAAATTTCAAGGTAATATTGTTTTATAAAAATAATGACAAAAAAATCTTTTTTTACGTATTAAGCCTCAATTATTTCAAAAGCCTAACTTGCTGGAAATATTATCGAGTTTCAGCATTCAAAAATCTATAAGAGACACTTTGTTTGCTTTAAAGTATTTGTTACTGTAAATTAGTTATTTATGCTTTTGTATACGAGAATTTTTGTGTGTTCATACATTACATATTATAATTATAGAAATTCTTGAACATTTTATTGAATATAATACTTTCCTAATTTTACTAACTATAAGCTCTTTAAATTAAAATTTTATTGAAATAAATAAAATTTAAATTTAAAAATAAATTCGTAGTATTATATCCGAAAAATAAATTATTTTGTTCCCTTTTCAGATACACGTAACAGATCACGTGCAGAATTCAGGTATTAACCGCTTCGTTTTAAAACCAGAAACCCCACAGCTCGTAATTTACTGTACTATATAGATAACACACGTAGCCTTTACGAGTCGTCGTTGCTCCGAGTCTCAAAGAAGTTATATCGCGTGAATCCTTGCGTAAGCATTTTGATTTTCGCTACCAACCGAAGAATAGATTTTACAACGCTGCACAATGCCTGCTAAAAAGTAATTTCTGCCTGTTAATGTACACCGCGTGTACATAAGCTCTGCGTTTCCTATAGATTTAAATTTTATCTCGAAGAGATAAAGTCCGATTTTTTATTTACGCAAAATGTTAACACACCTCTTCTCTTTCTTTCTACACATCGCGATGAAATCCAAATTTTATATTTACATCGTAAATTTATTATATAACATCTTAAAACCTTAAAAAGAAATATAGCATTGATGTATCTATAAAAACTATTCGTTCAGCTAAATAGTGTTCCAATAAGCGAGATACACTACTAGCATAAATCCAGTTCCAATAAGCCGGTCACGCGCATTCCGATGAAAGCGACGATTGGATTTGAATGATCAAATTTTCCGTGTGTTCCAAAAGGATTTGAGGATCACAATGAATCGCTCGGCAAACAGACCACTCACTATTTTAGCTCGAGTACTTTAACTGCAACGCGGTCTGGATATTCTCGACCGTGAACGAATGAATTTGGTCGATTTATGGAAAGATATTTACGCGATGGAAAGATACTTTCTTTTCCGTTAAGCAATAGTTCAATTTGTAACTCGTAAAGTACTCCATATTTCTTCGACATTACACAGATTTCTTTTCTTTTTTCTTTTGAATTTTATTTTGTAACTAGGAATTATATCTAGCATATTGAGAAAATTTTTATATCTGTGTAAAATGTTTATTATTTCTGCAATTATGTTCCAAAAATTAATTAAATGCTATAACAAAGGCAAATAATGGCTACACAGTAATAATGACTGAAAGAATCTTCAAATGCCTTGTCTTGAACGTATACGTTACTCAAATATTCGCGTGTCGTAACATATTTATTGTTTTAACTAAATGTAACATTTAAAAAATATAAGGACTTCGTCTTATCGTTAAATAATGTATTCAAGATAAAACTGTGAGTATACTACTTCAGATTAAAAATGAAGAAAATACTACGTGCAAAAGGAGCACGTGTACGATTATACAGAAGCTAAAAATTCATCTCGCGTAGATCTATTCTTCCCTTGGGAGCTCCGTGTATCGTTAGCTTTGAGCACTGTGTGTGAATATTTTAGTTACATATTTCTAAGAGGATTGCTTGTAGCTCTGTTATTGTCGAGATCTTCCTTGTAAGTTTTCGACGACACGGTGTATCGGGAAAATCGCGCGTATCTCATTGCTCTAATTTACGCGGATGGCATAGCAGCGAAATCACTTGTTGCACTATTTATATTGCGCGCGTGTGTCTCAGCTCATTTAGTACAGACTGGTCCAAGCTAAGGACTGGTTTCAGGATTAACTTAAGTCTGAACATGACTAGGTTTAATACACTTGCAAATACAAAGCGCCGTAAAAAGTAACTTTCGTTGACATCAGTTTAATAAACCATATTATATATTTCCCTTCAAGCTGTTTAAATGAAATAGTTATCATAAAATAGACTAAGAAATGATGTATGACTAATTTATAATAATATAATTTATAATATAAAAACGCGCAATATTAAATGTTTCTCGCAATAACGAATATTATTTTATCTTATTGTAATAGAACTAATCCTCTTTTGAATCTGTTTTTTAATAAATTCGATATAACAATAATGTAATAAAAATTATTTATTACGATTATGTATAATTCCCTTTTATCAGGTTCTGATCAGCTTATACAATAAGGATTCAGAGCGTCACGAAAGTACTTTTTACGACGATGCTGTAACCGTGATATAGCAATTTCCTTTGAAAAAAAAAAACCGTGCAATTTCGCGATAAACGAGATGTAACACGCCTATAATTACATAATAAATTGTAGTTCTGTTGACTTATTGTAAGTATTATGATTTATCGTACGGGCGAGTGCATCTGCATTGTGCGAATTAAAAGTGACGTATCTCAGTTAGCCATACTGAAAATGCTTGTTGTACTATTTAGTATTATTATATGCATATATATATATATACTTGCTACGCGTATTATTACCATATATAACTACATGTAATAAATGTAAGTATTATTACGGTGATGATTCTGTGAAATGCTATGTGAGCAATCTCTCCGTTGAGTATACGTACATTTTATAACATTAATTGACGTATAGATAGATTTATTCAAGTATACAGATTCGGTGTATGTGCATTGTGCATTCTAAACAAAATGCATTTCTTGTTTCGGAGGAAGCAATACATTTTAGAACGGCGGTTCCTTTTTAACGACGCTTTTAACGACGCTTTCGTATAAATATATCAGTGATATACAATATAACAATTAATTTTAATATAACCACCGAAGTTGATTATTTTAGTTTACACTGATAGCATCCTAAAGAGGAGGCTGCGCTTTAAATTATTTCTGATAAGTAAATCCAATATTTACAATACACTTTGTTATTAGCAAATCGTGACAACTAAGATGTCACGTACAGAGAATATCCTGTACATTCGATAACTAATAAATAAAGTTAGGATATTTGTTAGAAGTAACGTATAGGAAAGAATAAAAGCGACCATGTGTAAAGGAGTAATCTAGAACAATTTCATCGTTCTTTTCCCTGGATGCATTTTTAGGTAGCGAAAGGACATTAATAGTATTTTATAATGTATTTAGGAGAGATTTATACATAAATAATAAAAAAAAACCACGTATGCCAATTTCCATGCTTGGAGCAATACGTGGTAATGCAATTTGTTGTCGAACTACACAACTCTCGTTTATATTCGTTCAGATAGATGTAATTCCCAGTACTGTACGTTTATATTTCCGCTGAATGCTAAAATAAATTATTATTTTTTATGCTGTATAAAATTTTTTTTGTGATTCGCCGGTCCTATCATCGTCGCTTATGACATAAAAAAATTTATTTCAGTTCTTGTCATTTTTTCAGGATATAATATTCATAAACTTTATGTTTTGTGTTTATTATTAAAAGTAAGCTTCGAATTAATCTATTCGTATCTAATAAAATATGTATTTTTATTACATCGTAATTAGAAGCATAATTATTAGAATAGCATGATAATATATATGTTCTTTTCCGCTAAAATCTGCATTTTCTCAGAAATGTACGCCTTGATGCAATGCGTACGGGTAAAAATAATCTCTGGAGATGACTAAGGTGACAATTTCTGGCAATTATATATCCTCTTGACTCATTCCTCTCAAGTTATATAAACGCGCCGCTTAACGGCGGCCCGCGGCTAATCGGTTAATGACACGCGATGAACTTTACTTGAGCGCAAATATAGAGAGACATCGCGCAATTTCTACTCCATCTCTATTAATGTCAGTCATCGATTTCTACACCTTACTCGAATCAAGATAAGGATATCCGACTCACGATCCGAATCGCAATTACACGAGATGAATTTGATTCGGCGTGTCGATCAACGAACGCGCAAATTCCGAAAGAATGTACATGGCGCGTTTCCTTATCCGAATTTAGCGCGACGCGAGAACTCTCTACGATATCCAGGGCACGTTGGGTAAAAATAAAGAGCCTGTTACAAGTAACCGAGCAACGCGTGAACCAGTTTGATGCGGTCACCGCATCGCAAATCGGCGTCGGGCATGCACGATCGTAAAAGGATACCGGCCAATTTTTTATTCATGACACCTGACATTGCGCGATACGCGTTTCTCCGCCGCTGAAATATTCCTCGCTCGCAAGTGATTCACTTCACAGAGATACATACACGCAGTACGCGCACCTGGAGGGATGTGCATTCCTCAGTTAAATATTCTTCGTCGTCGTATATGTAAAATGGGAAATGCAACTCGCGAATCGCGCAAAGTGCGCGTTCCTAAGGAGTATTATGCGGATCTGGAAATATTATGCTAATCCAAAACTTCGACTAGAGTGAACCTTGCTTACCAGAATTGCGTCACGCTGCACAATGTAAATTTGAAAAAAGTTTAAATATTTTTGACTTGCGAGAGAGCACGAAACTTTTTTACTTTTTATTCAGAGTGATTTCTGCTACGACGTCCAATTTTATGATAGCTGCAGTTACTGGTTTTGATGTGTGTAAAAAAAAAAAAAAAATATGAAGAGTGTACAAAATTGACATAGCTAGACAGTCTAATCCTGTACACACTTGCGATAGATGTATGCATCTATGTTCGTCGACCCTGCCCACAATCGATCGTAAACAAATTTCTCGCGGGGCATTGATCCATCCTTGAGATGCATCCATCTTCGATCGTAGCTGTTGGCCGACATCACCGTCTTGATCGACCTGCATTTGGCAGCAAATATGTATAAAGGGTGTCTCGAAATAATAACCATTCCTTTAACCTGAATTTTTATAAATTCTCGACTTTAATCAAAGTTAATTCAAAGTTATATAAAAATAAGATTTCTTAATTTGCATCGCAAAAACTCATTTATTTCCAACTCATCATTCTCCAGTTACTGATTGCTCAACATTTTGACGTGAAACAAAATTCACTTGAATGCAAATTAGAGTTCATAAATAAAAGAAATAGCAAGTACTGAGGCAAATCTGAAATTCGTATTAGTTATCGCAATGTTATTAAGAATAGAGTTTAAGCTGTTTGCGTAAATATATAAATTTCTAAGCTCACATAAGTTTAAAATTAATCTTACATTTATTTATATATACTACGCATTCCAGCAGAACGTATTTTCATAATATAATTTCACTTGTGTGTGTGATTCATCAAATCACTTATAAATTATTTAACTTATTTCCGTCTAACAAAAATAACATTTTTTACAAGGTATACATCCTAATTATTGCTTAATAACATATTTAGAGACAATTACCTTATCTTCAGAATAATAGTGAAAAATAAAAGAGTTAATAATCCACACACGCAAGAAAGCTCTTTATAACCATTTCTTTATAAATAATGTCGTTTTAAGAGATCCTTTGCAAAGTCACATTTCTCACACCATGTTTTCTTCTTAATAATTTTAATTCCTTTACATACTGAACGAAATCTATGCTAATTCACTAGTTCTAATACGAAACGAAATGAACCGAATACGATTCAGTTCGTCTGATTCGCCCACGCATCCTAAATGCACGCACCTGTGCGAGAACAACACAAGCGAGACTCCGCTGATATTCGTGACACGTCCCACGTGCCGGAATTCCT